TGATGGGCCCGACGGAGGATGCCAAGGCTGGAGCAGAGGGTAGTGGTGATGGGGTCAAGGAGAAAGAGAAGGCGGGGAGGACAGTGAGAGAGAAGAACAGAGGAGAGACATTTAGAGTGGAGGGAAAGGCTCAGGTCAGGGCGGCAGCCAAAACGCACACACAGAGAACGGGAGTGAGCGATCAGCGGGACGGCATCAGCCCGCAGGCTGTGTGGTCATGGCTGGGATGGCAGTGGCAGCGGCTGCCAGGCCATTGTTGTTGTTTTTTTTAGTTGTGACGTCACGCCGATGTCACTTTGTGAATTGCGCCCCTTCCCCTCACTTCCCCCCCCCCCCCCCGCCCTCTCCTGACTCCGCTCTCGACTGCCTTCCATCTAAGTTATTTCTTGAGGGTAACCCTTTGTGGACACTTTCGGAAGATTTTCCATTGGTCGGAAAATATGCATTGCCTTGCATGTTTGAAAAATGCACATCTGCATACCTTGCATATCCGAAAAAAAACCTTGCATTTATATGATAGATATTTCCATTGCAAAGTCATGGCAGCAAGATTGGAAAACCTCCCCCATTGAGTCATCTAATTAGATTAAGGTTTTATCAATTCCTGCAGATGCTACCTGTGTTAAGGGTACTATACAAATGCGACTTGTAATTAAAATAATAATCAATGTAGCGCTTTTCACATCTTCTAGATGTCTCAAAGTGCTTCACAGAATATACTGTAAATTGAATTGACTGTATACTTGTGGGCGAAACACGGCAGCCAATTGCACACAGCAGTGTCCCACAAGCAGTCGTGGATTGAAATGGCCAATTTTATTATTGTTTTTTTTCTTGATGGATTATTATCAGGTGTGTGGAGTAAGGAAGCTTGCCCAAGGTTTTGCCCTGCCGGGAATCAAACTCAGGTCTCTGGCTTGCAAGGCGAGTGCTCTAACCACTGAGTTACAGAACTCCCTAACTCCCTGACTTGTTGCAGTCAGGGATTCTGTTTTACATTTAGACTTCTTTCAAAGAGTCTGCTGACTACAGGCCTCTCCCATCACAACTTCCTCCTATTACAGTTTCTGAGTGCTCTGAGCTCCAAACTGCAGCAATAAATATCATGACTTCTCTTAGGCTCCTGAAATGATACTCCAGGCTCTGAGATTAATATCACCAATAGACAGTCCAAGCTCTTATTTCAAGCCAAACCAACACATAAATCCTTTATTAAGAAAAAGTTAATCCCTGAAGCATACTAACTGCTTCTCTCTGAGGTGCCGCCTCCCTGGAGACAAGCCCAATTGATGTTGGAATATTTCATGATCAAAAACTCCAGGACTAAGTAACACAAGTTCCGTTTCCCACAGTGATGCCATGACATAAACAAATCATCCAAATTGCCAAGATGCCACTTTGCTTGCTTGAATAGAATTAACATAGCAAAATCATCACTTTTTGATGGAATCTGATGAAATATTTGCAAATTTTAGCTTAAACTCTTGAACTAAGATTTTGAAAGCAAAGTTTGGTGTTGCCTTGACCACATTTGGATACATTTGGTTTCTGAACCCATACTTCGGACCAATAATCTCTTACTTAATTAAACAAATTTCAAACAACAATCTCAAATCTACTGAACAATGTACATGTAAATTGAAGATCTTAATTTATAAACAGTTTTTCATGCCTAGTCAAAGTCTTGTTCAAAAAAGGGACTTGAAGAAATGAATAGCACAAATTAACTAAAAGCCTATTATACAGTAAGAGGCAAAAGCACTACACAGCAACACAATTATCAATTGTAAAATTGTAAAATCAGGTAAAATATTATGGTAAATAATAAAACAAACATGGATTTGGGTGGTGCAATGGTGGTACAGAAGAATGTCCTTTTAGTGTTACAAGTTCAAACGCAAGCCAGACCACGGTAATAATAAACCTTGCATTTGACATAGAGCTTATCATGTCTTCTAGACATCTCAAAGCGCTTCAGAGAATAATAATAATAATCCTTGCATTTGATATAGCGCTTTTCACGTCGGGAGGACGTCCCAAAGCGCTTCACAGAATAGACTGTGAAGTGAATTGACTATACATTTGTGGGCAAAGCGCAGCAGCCAATTGAGCACAGCAGTATCCCACAAACAGTCGTGGATTGAGTGACCAAATTACTCTTGTTTATTTTCCTCAAGGGATTATTATCAGGCTTGTGAGTACGGAAACTTGCTCAAGGTATCACCCTGCTGGGAATCGAACCCAGGTCTCTCACTTGGAGGCGAGTGCTCTAACCACTGAGCTACAGGACTCCATGTCCTGTAGCTCAGTGGTTAGAGCACTCACCTCGCAAGCGATAAGATAAAGCTCTTCTTACTCAGTTGTTGTACTAATGTCTTTTGGGAAATGCTTTTGAACGGTCTCACTAAAGTTCTCAGAGAACATAGGCCCATTGCTGGTACTAAAATTGTCAATTTCACTTGTCTGCAACTTGCTGTGGTCTACCTGATATGGGAGTGCTTAATGGTAACCTTGGGTGCCTTAAATTGGAAAACAATCCTTTCTTAACAGTAAGGAATGTCTTGATGAGCAGAACAAAAATTCACTCCAGAAATTATTTTAGATCCATATATTTATTAAACTGATAGTACTTCCCAATGCTTAACAAGTGGCTTCTACACATATACAGCAATAAAACAATTGTTGTATTTGATGTAGTGCCAACCTGTATACGGGAATGTCCCACAAACAGCCATGTAGTGAGTGACCAATTGTTAGCTAGATTACTGGAAGAAGCTGTGTTTTTTCAGATAGTGTTATAGGATTTGTGGAGTCCTGTAGCTCAGTGGTTAGAGGACTCGCCTCGCAAGCAGGAGCCCTGGGTTCGATCCCTGGCAGGGCAAAACATTGGGCAAGATTCCTTACTCCACACGCCTGATAATAATCCATCAAGAAAAATAATAATAAAATTGATCACTTCAATCCACGACTGTTTGTGGGACACTATTGTGTGCAATTGGCTGCCGAGTTTTACCCACAAATATACAATCAATTCACATTACAATGTGAAGCGCTTTAAGATTTCTAGAAGACACGAAAAACGCTATATCAAATGCAACGATTATTATTATTATTATCCTTAACGTCCACCTGAAGGGGCAGATGGGACCTCGGTTTATCATCTCATACAAAGGATGGCACCTGTGACACCACTCACCCAGCACTCTACTGTGTCAGTCCAGACTGTGAGTTCAAAGTCCTGGTGTGGGGCTTGAACTCACAACCTTCTGACTCAGAGGCAAGAGTACTCTCAATTGAGCCAGGCTTATCCTCAAGTAGCTCTGGCTAGTTCTTTCACAGTGGGGTACCAAATGTGGACATTTAAACTTTTTACTGATGCAGACCTATCAAATGATGAATGGCGATGAATGGCTATATGCAGACTAATTACAGTAATTAAAAACCATGTTGACAGATTACTTCATAGCCAAGAGCTTCATTTGTGAGGAAATTATACCATGTAGAAACTTCAAGCTTACATTTTAAAACAAAGCAATAGATGTGTAACTCAGAAAAAGCATCAAAATAATACAATTTTGATTGCTTTGTCAACTAAGAAACACACTGATCATAACTGTGAACAAAGCCATGGCAATGTTCACCTAGATAGTACTCAGAGAATAAAAATAACTATTTGAAAATATAACAACCGAGAAAGATTGTTTCCACGACTGTCCTTTATGCTGAAAAGTCGATTATATTTTTACACCAGAATCTTTTGTTTCAGTGCCAGGTTCTAATTACCTTCGTTTTTTCCTTTCTGCTATGTATTATCTGTGCTTTACGTGAAGCCTTTGTTTGCAGATGATGGTGAGGTATCAGGATGGCATATTGTGATTGTGCACATGTACCAAAAATACATTAAAGCACTTTTTGCATCTAATTGTGCAATGACTGCAGAGATGATGACGTCAACATCACCATGGTGTGTTTTTTCATAATGACTGATCAATATTATTGGTACAGTTTGACAGGCTCAGTTGATAAACTGCTCAATATAAAATTCAGCTCTATAGATACCAAGTGTGATCCATTCATTGAGTTATCAGATCTCAGCCAGTGAATCAATACAAGCTGTTTCATTTGGCATCAGCATTACTCAGAGGGGGAGGGAAAAATCCCACTCCTGATAGCAAGTACATGTATGTGGTCAGCAGGTGTGGACAGGATGGGGCTTGTCTGTGCTACCCCTAGCCTGCTGACATTCACTATCTCGGTTCATATACAAAAAATTGACAACATTTACGTCTGTACAGGTGGCCCCAACATAAATCAGTGCTTCAAGAGTGGGAGAAAATCTGAGCAGAGCAATGACAAAAAGTACCTGGAGTATGAGATACAGGTTTTAAAGTTCATCCCATGAAGTATAAACTCTGTGGGGAATTTTTACAAATTTAGCAAATCTCAACAAAAATCATAATTTAAATTATAAGATGATATAGCAATTTTCCCACATCTGTTGAAGTGAATGACCAAGTGCCATGGGATGGATCTTTAACGTCCACCTAGACGGGCAGACAAGACCTCGGTTTCACGTCTCTTGTGAAGGTTGGCACCTCCAACAGACCAGCTTGGTCTCTCCCTTGTGTTACCAAAAAATGTGATTTCTGCTGAAGTGGTGATAGGAATACTGTAATAGATCTCAGCCCTCTAGACTAGGGAGGAAAAGAATCAGGGCACCTTCTCCAGCCAGCTATCAGGTCACTTCTGCAAATGTGAACATATGGTGAATTTCTACAAATACAGGATTGGGCTCAGTTACGATACATCCAAGAGAGCTTTGCCGGCAAGGATTATTATTTTCATTATAATTAGTGACATATCACTGCCATGTATCCAGACAGGCAACATTAGGCAACAGAAGGACACTTAGAAGATACTAATACATCAATGGGTTATTACCACCAGTTCCTTTTACAATCACTCAGTGACTAATTATTACTGTAATAATGTTGTTTTACCTGGTTAAGATCCAGGGTGATAATCACATCATGATACTTCATTCCATTTCGTATACTTGGACTTTGCCACCATCGGTTTGTACCATCAATTGCATTTGTAATTGGGTGCCGTTCTGCAAATGAGCAATAATCAGGATTACAATAAATTGTGCCATTTGCTTACCTTTCTCAAATTTCTCTCACCACTTCAAGAATTATAGGCAAAATACCATAGAGAGTTAAATGGAAACAACACTTAACTATTCAAAGCTTTCCTGTCACCATCATGAAAGAAGCATGTTCTTTCAAACAACTTGTTACAATTCAGGTTCACTATCGGCAGTTATAAACTGGATACCACCTGGGCTCCTTCCTTATTAGTCAATGCAGCAGAAGAACCCAGGTTGAACAATTACCTTTAACAGTGGACGTGTGTTACCAGAAGAGGTGAAGTCCCCAGAGACATCACCAATTTAACTTCAGAAGTCAGAATAATTTATCAGCCAGAACAAAGATTTGCAGACTACAACAATTATGGAATTCTGTTTATCCATCAATATAACTAAGAATTTGAAAGAAATGCTAAGCTTGTATTAAGTGAGCACATATTAAAATATTCATACATATGATTCTTGCAGTCTTTTGCATATAGTGAGTGGACCTGTTTTTTTTGTTTCAGAAATGCAACTCTTGAAGCAGTCAGTTTATTCAGTTCTGACCAGCAATTGTAAACCTAGAATACTTTAAGACATGCCAATGAGATAGAACACAAGATCACAGGTTCACAGTTGTAAAGGACAAATTTTAGAAGAGAGGCAGTGTTATTTTTTACACAGAGTAATCAACATCTTGAAAATGATACCATTCATGGTAATACATACCAGGAAGAGTGATAAAAGCATTGAACTCATTTAATGCCATGTTTCTATTAAAGTTTTGCATCCTCAGTCAAACCTGACTTTGGAAGCAACTTTTGATAAAGTACATTCAGGTTTTCTTTCTTCTGTTGCCTCCACATGCAGGAGGCACTGAAATTATCTATTGACAAAATGTCTTTAGAAATGTATTTCTGCAATCTCTGCTATTCAAATAGTCTCAGAATGTATAAGAGCAGTGGAAGCTCTACTTCAAATAAGTGGTCTGGAGTTGAAAAAAATCATTGGTCCTTGTATAAACTTTTAGTAGTACATCCAAACAAATGGACAAGTTGACTCCATGAGTCAATTCTCAGGTATTACAGAATCCGAACTTTGAGAGAAGGCAATTGCTGAGATAACCAGACTGTGCATCAGAAAATAGATGGATATCTGATTGGGATATTATAGGGTGGAGGGCAATAATGATAAGTGCAAAGAAAGAAAATCAAATGCAATTTGAACATAATAGTTCCTGAGCTGCTTGGATCATGGAAATATTTTGCTGGTGAAGATAAATAGTTTGGAATGTTTTATGTAGGATGCAAGGTTAATCTGCAGTCTGATTTAATTTATCTGTGGTGGTGCAGAAAGAAGCTCTGCAGAATCTTTATTCAGGAATGAAAAGGTTAATAGAGTATAAAAGGCCTAATATAAAGGGCAGCAGCAAAGTGACATGATACTTAGGTGCATTTCCTGGCTTCAGACAGTTATTTGAGGTAGAGAGATAATGCTTGTAGTGCTTCAAGTACCCTCTGGATGTACATGAAGGCTTGAAATGCAACATCACTTTCAATTTGGTGTCACATTTTGAATCTCCAGAATCACAATATAAGTGCAGCAACATAAGAATCAGTTTGTTACTGTAATTGGGAACAGTATGACTTGCACTTATGAAAACACTTTTCACGAAGCTTAACAAAATATTTCGCAGAGCCAGAGTGCAAACCTGATCAGGTGGGTGATGTGGGAGCATTAATGTCAATTTCCTTAAATTTATTTAGTGCCTTTGTATTTAGTGCCTTTCACATTGTGTTGTTATCATGATGTGAAAGGCACTAAATAAATTAAATTGCATTATAGTATAAAGGGGAAAGGAGGGAAGACGACCAACAACAATGATCAAACATTTGAGGGTTTAAAAGGGTTTTGAAAACACATAGGAAAAGTAAGCAAAGGGATTTGGGGAGAGAGTTCCAGAGTTCCAAATCAGCTGAATGCTCAGCTGCCAATGTAGACTAGAAAGGACTGGAAACACGGAGCTGGCCCTCATTGTTAGAGTGTAGGGTGAGGTTGAAGAAGTGACTGGAGGAGATCACAACAGTCCAATAGGCTGCTGTATTTCACTCACAAAATATACAGTCAATTCACTTACAGTATATTCTATGAATACTTTGAGATGTCTCAAAAACGTGATAAACGTGATATATCAAATGCAAGGATTATTATTAGTATTACAGAGGCCATGGTCATAGAGACAGTTGAATGTTAGAACAAGGATCTTGAAATTACTCCACTGGGCAGACAGTAGGTTTGATATTCTTGGAAGATAATATACTTTCCTCACCATATCTTTCTGGTGATTTTCTGATGCAATGTCTGGCTATCTCACCAATCGCCTTCTCTACATGTTCAAATTCTGTAATACCTGAGAATTGACTCATAGAATCAACTTGTTAATTTGTTTGGATGTACTACCAGAAAGTTTATACAAGGACCAATTATTTTTTTTAGACTCCAGGCCAGTTCTTTGAAGAAGAGTTAACAGATACACCCTTAGTAAATTGGACCTGAGTAAAGCTCATATAGATTTAGGAACCTTTTTCACTGACACAAAAATGAGTCCTGAGTTTATCAATTCGTTGAAAAGTGATGGTATACTCAATGTGAAGGCTCCCAGACTATGGGAGTCAATTCTTCTGTGCGCAATTGACTGCCACGTTTTGCCCACAAAATGCACAGTCAATCCACTCCGCCACTGTGAAGCGCTCTGGGATGCTGAAGGTCACTAAATAAATACAAGTTGTTGTTGTATTCTATGGAAAGCTTTGAGAGGTATAAGGAGCTTCATTGAATGCAAGGATTATTATCATTATTATTATGGCTTCGCATTTATCAGAAGGCAATTCTGTCAATTAGAAATTGTTATCAAAATGTTTTGATCTGAAGAACAAAGGCAGTCAATCTCTAAGGTTAACTTTTTAATCTGTGATTGTCTGGAAGATTGCTGCCTTCTATAACTCTGCATTAAATTATTTTCAGTATTTTATTGGCATATTTTAAAACAAGCACAGATTTCTCAACTTGCAACACAACTGTTACACATTCTTAAACATCATTCAGTATAGGGCTAATTATAAATCATTTTGCATGACAACCTGGAAAATAGTAAGTGTACATCTTGCATCATAAATTCACGTCGAGCAGTTAATGCTGAGTGTATTAATAAGATGAATATCTGGCTAGTAACGGGGTGGAGGGTTACAAAGCTAAGTACAAAGAAAGAAAATCAAATGCACTGAACAGAATAGTTCCGAGCTGCTCAGATCAAGGAAATGTTTAGCTAGTAAAGATAACTAGTCTTGGATGTTTTATGTAGGATGCAAGGTTAGATACATAATCTGCAGTCTGATTTCATTCAGAATCTTTATTCACGAATAAAATGCTTAGTTAGATTCCATGATATTTGTTGCCTATTGTCAATATCAGTAACAGTGTCTGCTTGGCAAAGTTTGAAATAGTACCAGAACCACAAGCCTCCCCTGATCTTTCAATGGTACCAGTGTTGATTGGTTTACTCAACACAATGACTCAACCTTTATGAAGTCCATGCTGTTCAAAATCCTTCACTGATATTCCAAATGTCAAAAGGCCTGTTCTTGTTTGGATAGGGAAATAAACCAGTTTGTATAAAATCAAGAATATCTGCTTTCCATACCATCCAGATCAGAGCATTATATGTGGATAAATTGAGAAATAATTTCCCAATTGTAATCGCCTTGCCTTCTTCAACCCATCTCAAGACCCTCCTCTTCGACCGTGCCTTTGGCAACCACCTTCTCCCCTGCTCTCCACCCTCCCTGATCCCTACCCCCAGCTCAGGTCCGAAACACTGATTGTCCAGCACCTTGGGACATCCTCCCAACGTGAAAGGCGCTATACAAATGCATTTGTGTTGCTGTTGTTAAGGCACTTTAGCCAATTTTGTGCTGAGAAGTGAATTCAATTAATAATAATAATAATCCTTGCATTTGATATAGCGTTTTTCACATCTTTTAGATGTCTAAAAGCTCTTCATAGAATATAGACTGTAAAATGAATTGACTCTATATTTGTGGGCAAAAATGTGGCAGCCAATTGCGCACAGCAGTGTCCCACAAACAGTCGTGGATTGAAATGACCAATTTTACTATTTTTTTTTGAGTGAGTATTATCAGGCGTGTGGAGTAAGGAAACTTGCCCAAGGTTTCACCCTGCCGGGAATCAAACCCAGGTCTCTCACTTGTAAAGCGAATTCTCTAACCACTGAGCTACAGGATTCCACGATCGAACAGAAAGATTGCAGTGTCTGAGAAACAGCATCTTAACTTTCTAGTAGTTAGAATTATTCAAATTTATTGCCTGAGCAATGCTCTTTCTCTCCCTCAGGTCCTCAGTTAGCTGTGTGAAGTACTTCAAGACATTCTCTCAATGTGAAAGGCACTATATAAATGCAAATTGTTGTTGTTGATGTTATTTATATAAGTAAATGATGAATTTGATCACCTCTAGTGCTTACTTAAGACACCCCAAGACTAATACAAGCATCCTATTCTTTCTGGTGGTTGGAGACAACAACAACAATTTGTACTTATATATCGACTTCCAGGCAGGGTAGAGTCTCAAGGCACTTTAAAGAGACATGCTTTAAATAGCTGAGTATGAATTAATCACCAAATTCTCAGCCATATAAAACTAAATAATATTTAACTGAATATTACTTGCCCTCTGATTTCTGATGCCATCTTTGACTGGTATTGGAAACCTATAGTTGATGCCCCTTCATCTCCACTACCACACCAATGTGGGTGAGATCAAGTACCCGGTCGTGAATGGGGAAATCAAACCAACATCCTGTCACTTTCTGTGGGCCTATCTTACACTTTTAGTATCTAACTACTACTTTCTCATGATCACACATTTCCAAACAGACATTTCCATCTATCCAACCACACCCAGGG